CCTATGGCATTTATCATTGTTGTGCTCTATTTCTGTAGAGATGTAGTTATTTCTTATATAGAGAGCAACTCCACCTCCTCTTTTATTTGGTCTGTTTCTTTTAAATAATTTAAATCCCTCTAGCTGTGTGTTCTATGTGTGGGTTTCATCCCACCATGTTTCCGAAATGGCAACAATATCTTATCTGCCCTCATTAACCTGAATTTCTAGTTCACCCTGTTTGCTGTTCATACTCTGTGCATTGGTGTATAAACATTTGAGTCCTTTGTGAGTGGCCCTGTGTTTCCTTTCTACATAACCTGTCTGGTGCCTGAGTTCCCCTATTGTCTTACCACCTATTTGGTTAGTGCACTTTGTGTGGCACTCGCTATTAGAGGCTTCATTTTGCTTCATAGCAAGGTTGGTATTCTTGTCCACACACACATCTATGCTACATGCACTGATAGCCCTATAATTTTTAAATTGCCAGGGACAAGGTTGTTCCGTATCAATTAACTCCCTGTCTCCGCTGTTTAGTTTAAATTTCCCTCCAGAAAATCTGTGAATTTATAGCCGAGTAACTCAGTCCCTTTTTTTGATGGATGCAAACCATCTCTTTTGTACATCTTTTGATTGGACCAGCTACTGACATCGTGACTAATATATCCAAAGCCTTCCCCTTTACACCACTCCTTTAGCCACATATTGAATTGTGCTATGCGCTGGCCTTTTCCGTTTTGCTCCTTATACACTGGTAAAACCTCTGAGAAAGTAAGCCTACAGCCTATTCTGCTAAGTTCCTTCCCCAAGCTCTGGAAATCGTTCTGCACAGAGAGTACATCTTTTTGGGACAGATTGTTAGTGCCAAGATGTACAATAGCCTCCACATCACAGTCCTTGCTGCCATTCTTGATTATTTTAGAAATACGCTTCTTGTCCCTACTGGCAGTAGCACCTGGAACACACCTGACCTCTTTCGAAGCCTCTCTGTCCTTTCCTAAATTTACATCCCTTATAATTGAATCACCTACCAGAAGGTAGCTTCTCTTTTTGGGTGCCTTTCTGTTCTTCCATGACTGATGTGCAATACCTGATTCACACTTCTCCCTGTCAAAATCTAGTTCTTCATCTTGGACCACAATCCCCTGCTTATTTGAGTTTATTGTTTTCTTTTAAAATTTGGTTTGATTAATATATATATATATATATATATATATATATATATATATATATATATATATATATATATATATATATATATTTTCAGTAATTTTGTTAGCCTTGTAAGACCTTCACAAATCATGGAAATGGAATTACTATCTAATGTGTTCAACAGAGTACATCTTGCACATATTTAATAATACTTACTGAATTGCACTATTTAATAGATTAGTTCAATCTGTCACTTTTAGATCTTAATTCTAAATTATATTCATTGCCTTGATAGACAACCTACATTATCAGGAGTGGAAAATGCAATTCTCTAAGTTTTGTAAAACCTCTCCACAAATTCATCTATGCCAGTTTTTTCTCAATATGGTGCTTTTACAATGAATTAGGACCACAATTCTCATAAATCATAGCCCCAATTATTCGGTGTTTTTAAAGGATCAAACTTATTTTTAGTGACCTGCTTTGGCAACTGCTTTGATAATTTCAGAAGAAAATCAGTATATCACTGATACATTAATCTAACAAGATTTTTTTAATTAAACAAGCTAATTGTTTTCCTTGGAAATGAGATCAAATACATATTGTATCTAATACTTTGAGATGTAACTCTCAGTTCTAACTGGAAGTGTGAGTTAATGAGTTAATGCGGTGTGTGTAGGTGCATATGAATTCTTACAAAATTTTCCCTATCTCACTCATGGATAATTTACTGTCCACAGAGGCACAAGGGCCAACTTCTCCCCTTTGCTTTTTTCACTCTAAGGGTCACAGGTGGCAGAGAAAGGAATGGTGCCCACATTCTCACATTCAGTGGACTCACAAGATTTTCAATTGTACTGACTATGTCCAAGTGTAGAATGTGCTTATAAAAAGGGGGGTATCAGAACCTCTCATTATCCTCATGGAACAACTATACATAAGCCAGAGCCTGGACAGATGGATAGCCAGGAGTGAGAAAAAGCTGTATTGATTTCCCCTTTACTTACTTACTTATTTACTTAATCTACATGCTAGAGACAAGATAGATTGGAAGAAGATGAGCATGATTTTAAAAGTGAAAGAAGAAACATTAACAACCTGCACGATGCTGATGACACCACCCTAATAGCTGGATATGCAGGTGAATTGAAGCTCTAATTGAACGAGTGCAGTGAAAACTGGAACTAGCATTAAATCAAATTAATAAATTAAGACCAAGCTAAGGACAACCAGCCTTGGAACTGGCAATGAAGAAAGAACAGAAACCTTTGGCCTTAAGACTGAAGATCTCAGCAGTTGAGAAATATGTTGCACACTAGGACTTGGAAAGATAGCAAGGAAGGCCTTAGAAAAGATATCCTGGTGCCAGGATGTGTCTATACTTACATTGGTCAGAATCATGCAGGCAATGTTTTCTCTACAATGGTCTATGGATGTGAAAAGAGAAAAAGACTCCTGGAAATATGATGGATAGCCAAGGAAATGAACAAATGGATCATTGAACAAATTAAACCATAGTTCTCTAACTTGAATCATAATGGACCTTCTTCAGATAATCTTATTTTAAAGACATAATTGTGAAAACCTAGGTTTTTGAGAAGTTCGTAATTTGGGGAAAGTTGCAGGAAAGAAAAAAAAAAAGGACAATACTAGCAAGCTGGATAGATTTAGTTACATTGATAATGGGTTCACTTTTGAAAGATCTGAAGGACCAGAGTGGGGATAGATGATCCTGGAGAAAATCCATCTATGTGAATGCTAAGAGTTGACACCGACTTAATAACAGATATAGATGTAAGTAACATATAAAAAATTCTGTTCTCACCCATATGGATGGTATGTGTCTTCCTCAACAGTGGGCCCTCTACCAGAGGCCTGGGAATTTGAGGGTTCTGCACAGAATTTCAGCTGCTCCTAACACTGCACTTTTTTGGACAGAGAGCTCTGATGTTGTTCCTGTGATCTGTTGAAGGCATTCATCCAGTTCAGGAATTGCAGCACTAAATGCTCCTATCACCACCTGGAACACTTTGGCCTTTACTTTCCACATCCTCTCCAGTTCCACCTTCAGGCTTTGGTACTTATCCAGTTTCTCATTCTCCTTCCTGATGTTGCTGTCATTTGGCACTGCTACATCTATATTGACAACACAAACACACACACACACACAAAATACCAACTTGATGACACCTTGTGTGTGTATGTGTATGAGAGTTCATCTGTTTATTCTGCAAAAGACTCTATAGAGTTTCGCTGTCCAACCTCCACCCATAAAACTCTTACCTTCAGGCCAAGTAACCACAGGCAGGAAGCAATCATTTTCAGATAAACGGTTTCTCCTGGAGGATTAGGTAGGAATTTCCAGCTCTACAACTTTCAAGTTTCAAGAAGCAACTTTTCCCCATACACTGGGCTAACTCAGGACTCTTTGCACCTGGCGCAAAGAACAGGCTGGAATTTCCACCCCTTGTATCCTACCCCATAGGCTATGGTAATACTTGACTACTTATTTCAATATTGGCAATGGGACAGTATGAGCCACCAGAGGCTGTCAAGGGGGTTGAAGGCCAGGCAGTATATTCACAGGTGAAGGTGAGAGGTCAGGGAATTTTGGAGGAATACAGGCATGCTGCATTATCCGGGTGAGACACATTCTTACAGCAATAGGTTCACTTTGCAGTCTTTTGTTCTTCACTGAAGTCCTCCCAACTGCCCAGTTCGCTTCTGCTGCTTCCCGCCTGACCATGGTTCTTGTTTTCCTTTTTCCCTGAAAGTGCGAGATGTTGCTTTTTTCTTCACTCCCCCTCCCACTGAGGGGACTTGGGCACGGCAAGGGGCTGTCCTTTTAGCGGGTGACTTGCCACCGCCTCAGCCGCTGGCATGACGGTTACAGCTTCAGAGTCGCTGCTGAAAGGCGGGCAGGGCAACCGAAAGCCGAGGCAGTCTGCCAGTTTATCTCCTTCAAGCTGAGCGCGGGGAGGCGCCGTGGGCAGGGTCTGAGGGGAGAGCGGCGCTTATAATCTGGTGCTCGCAGGGACAGTTCTGCGCCTCCTGCCAAGATGCCTCCGGTGGCGGGTTTTTTCCTTTCGATCTCCGTTGGGGTGGCACTCGCCTTGGATGCCTCTCTGATGCCTCCTGATCACAACAAGACCGAGGAAGGGGCCCGCTCGTTCGCAAACGCTTATAACACTACCGGGGAAATTGTGTTCTTCGAAAGCACCTCCGCCAGCTGGAATTACAACACCAATCTGACAAACCACAACGCTCAGCAGCAGGTAAGCAAGCGGAGGTCGCTCCTGACCTCACGCTGCCTCTCAGCGAGCTCCTGTTGTCGCAGGAACGGCAGGACAGGACCGGGCTGGATCGGGGGCGACAAAGGGGAAGGGGAAGCTCTCCGTCGCCTCTCCAATACGACTTTTGTCCATTTTCTCACTTGTCGCTTTGTCATTCAAAAAAGTGGAAAGGTCATACGAGAGAGATCTCTCTCCTCCACAGACCCCTGGATTTGGTGGTGACGCTAAATGTCCATTTCTACACGTGCATTTGGTTCCTCCAAATCCTTAGCACTTTACCTATTAGTGCCACAGTGGTTGTGTAATAAGGAGTTCTTTCTGGCCTCTAAGCATGTTAGTCTTCCATTTTTAAACTAAGAAAGCAGTTTGCTTAAGGTGACTTAACTTCACTCATTTTCTGTGAAGGTTTCTCAGAGCAAATAGCAAAGTAATAAAAAACTATTTTAAAATTAGTAAAACAATAAAACATAGAAAAACATACCAGATAAAACAGCAAAATATAGGCGATCTTAACTTTAGCAATTTTATGAGAAATTCAGAATCACCTTATCACTGAACTTACATGAGTTAGCTCACCTTCAGCCATTAATATCTCTGCCCAAATAACATCCAGCAGCTTCTAAGGAGGCTTTGATGCGTCTTTCTCCCTTTCTTCTTTCAATAGCAGAACAAAGCATCTGAAGGTATGAAAGAGCTAGAATTATAAAAACCAGTAAATCAGCTAGCTGACAGGAACAAAAATGACCCCATGTTTAATTTCCAGAACTCACTGCTGTGTGCAGTGTTTTCATAGCCACAGGCTAGATAGTTTCTAAATTGTAAATTTAAACAATAAAACATCTACAAATAGGAAAATCAAAACAGAGGAATAGAGCAACTCTGCTATACAAATAGGCATACACATATATTGGGTTATTTTTAATTTAGAAAAATATAACAAGATTGCCAGAGAAAACATGAACTCTGGAATGGGGAAAGTGGATATATTTTTTTTATCCTCTCACTCCCTCCTAAGATAGCCTTCATCTACAAAAAAAAAAAAAAAAAAAAAAAAAAAACAAAAAACATTTTGAAAAAGTGATTAAGCCAAAGATCAAGGAGAGAACAAAAGACCCCAGCATATCCATTCTCATTATACACCTGGACTTCTTGGACTGAATATTACCTATCTTGGCAATGAAAAGTTTGCAGGAGAAAAAGCAAGCTCAGAAAGCACCAAGAACACAATATCTCATAGAAACTGAGGTTATCTAATGAAATTAGATGGCAAGACATTTAAGATTGACAAAAAGATATGTTTTCTATATATCCTCATGGGGCCAGTTTAGACAGATTTGATAGGCAGAAGGAAGCTGTGGCAGTAGAGAGAAATTATACCCTCTATCCTGTGTGCTTTGTTGTGTGCTAATGGATTTTTTTTTATTTACAGATCTCATTGTTCCAAAATAGGTAAATGTATCTAGAGAATATCCTCACAATTCCATAACCTGGTGTTGAATGATGGTTGTCAACAGATGAGATTAAATATTAAGCAGAGCAACAGACTGTTCTATGGTTGGTGGGAATTAATTCTGGACATCTAGGGTATAGTCCAGGAGTCACAAGGAATTATCTTTGTATGCAATCTTTACAGATTGCTCTTTTGATGTGAAATAAAGGAGACATTAGTCCAATTATATTTGCGAGAAGCAAGTAACTTCTTCTAATTTGAGTTTCACAAAATATGATTTAATAGTTCACTATGGAAGATATATTTTAGTAGCAAAGTTGAAAGACTTACAAGTAAAATAAAATGTGGATTGGGTTTTCTATAACAGGATCCCCAATCCCTGGTCCATGCCATGCAAACAAGTGAAGCCCCATCTGTGGGATGCAGGCAGCACACGAAACCACACCCCCTCCAATACGCAGAAAAATCTTTCTCCATGGTCCCTGGTGCCAAAAAGGTTGGGGGCCATTGTTCTATAGGTTGATATTGCAATTAGACAAGTAATTTAGGGTTCTGCTCTCTCTCATGCCCCCTTTCCAGACATTACTATGTAAAATTTGTACATGAGCAAAAGATGTAATCTTGCAGGAAAGTAAAAAAGGTCAGGTAGTCAAAGATTAATTACCGGTAGCACTTTTCAGTGATGTTATGGTAGAAAGACAGTTGGATTATCACTAGGGTTAACTAATGAATGGGAGGCATAGTGGCTAAGTGGTTTAAAAGATGCTGCCAAAGGTCTACACTCAGACAGTTTGAGTCTTACCACTGTGTGATGGACTGAGCTCCTATCATTTGTTTCAGCTCCTGCCAGCCTAGCAGTTTGAAAGCCTGCAAATGCAAGTAGATAAATAGATACCACATCAGTGGGAAGGTAACAGTGCTCCATATTCCATAGTATACTTCGGACTGTAGCATGGTGTCATGCTGGACACATGACCATGGAAACATCTTGGGACAATGCTGGTTCAATAGTTTAAAGAAAAGGAGATGAGCGCTGCCCCCTAAAATTCAGCTACAACTAATGGAGTAAAACCCATGAGGATTCCTTTATCTTTTACCGTAACTAATGGAAGAGTTGAATCCTGGACCACAGCAGAGCAGATAACTTGTTTAGCTGTTGGGTAATACAGGGACCCTTGGTGAGTTTTGTACCACTGAGGATGAGAAGGATGGGATTTAAATGCTGGAGCTTCTGCTTCTCAAGTATTTATTTAAAAAGGATAGTTTTTATGATGTTTCAATATGACTGACTCTAAATATACTTCTCACAAAAATAAAGGGAACACAAATGTATAAGATCCTATGCGTTTGTGTTCCCTTTATTTTTTTGAGCAGTATATATAAAAGAGTAACAAGTAGCTTTCTTTTAACCCTTTTTTGAATGAACAACTAAAAAAAGTATGCCAGAACATGATGAAAGACAATCAGCAATGTTTTTTAAGATAAGAGCTTTAAATTTAGGGACAGTTTTCCTTTAAAATAACTAGAAATTTTATTTTCTTCCATTATGTGAACTTCAGCCTGTGTTTTCTATGATCTTCTCAGAGGACAAACACCTTAAATGTATGATCCAAATTAATATATTTATTTCTGGGAAGAATTTTAAATAACATGCTTACCTAATTAGGTAAGCCTAACAATGATTAATTGTGGCTACAATGTATTTTAAATGAGAGACATAAGTTAGTGATCAAAAATATTAATCCATAGCAAAGATCATGGTATCAAAATCATAGAACAAAATTTAAAAAAGATTTAAAAACTGAAGCTTGCTGGATAGTCCTTTAGACTATCCAAATATTTCCAAATTACAATTAGGGCTGGTGGCTGCCTAGCCAGAGTGCCCTTCTGATATGGTGTTCAGAAATGTGGTGTTTTAGCAATAATAAGAAGCAATAAACAGTAAAGGACAGTAAAAGTACATTGTCTCCTAGATGAACAAAACAATTCTTATTTTGCATGTGATTGTATGTATGATTTCATCTGCTTACATAAATGTCTTAAAATGATGTTATCTAAAATACAAACCTGTTGTCTAAGCTAAAAGAGATGGAACAGCTGAATAATTCTGGAAGCAATTTCTTGATTCTTTTATTTGCTTATTCCCTATTCCGTGTTACTTCTTCCATCATATGTCATAATACCAAGTAATATTTATCCCTATAATTTTTTCCTACTTGAGTATGCATTGAAAAGTGACACTTCGGCCATCAAGGAAAGAGAAGCACAGTTGCTGTTTCCTATTTCCTATGTCCTGTTTCACTTACCCACCTCTGCTTTCTGTGTTATACATGTAGAATCAAAAGAGCACAATCTAATAAACTGTAATGAAAGAGAATGATAAAACAAGACTGAAATATGTTGGGTGTAAGATGGATTAGGGCAGTGGTTCTCAACCTGTGGGTCGGGACCCCATTTGGGGTCGAATGACATTTCACGGGGGTCGCCAAACCATGCTGTCCGCCATTTTTTTCCCTTTTCCCTAGCTGTCCTACTCCCTCTTATTGGTGGCCACACCCACTTGGGGGATCACCACAACATGGGGAACTGTATTATGGGGTCACGGCATTAGAAAGGTTGAGAATCACTGGATTAGGGTAAGCATTCAGATGACAGTCCCCCTCAGCCTACCTAAGTTAAATGGAACTGACAACCTGAACGGTTCCACTTAACTCCAGGGTATACTTCCTTTCCACCTCTGATCTTTTTTTGGGGGGGAGGGGGTTGGGACTTAATTCAACAGAAAGAGTTAAAAAAATTGTGGTATACCTGATATATAATAAAATACAGACATCTAGCATTTATAGCCATCAAGATGACAGTACTCTTGGGTTTTTTTCCCTATATAAGGCAAAATCAGCAAGCCAATAGAAGCAAATGTGTTTTGTACAATTTAGCTTTTCTTGGCACAGAAGCCAAGAATTGAATGCACCTTTAACTGGGGCCAATACATGTAATTTTACTTATTATGCTTGGTAGAAATAAGTGCACATACTTGTACCTCCTCTACTATTTTCCTCCTATGACATGGATGCAAGAAAATGGTAAAAACAATGCTCCAGTTTTCAACTAATAATGGTTTATCATTGCTTAACCCTGGCAAATTTAGCTTTGCTCCAATAAACTAGGATTCTAATAGCTATTGATAGAATTTGACTTACTCATGCAGTTTACAGATTGTCATCTATTTCATTTCCATTTTTTTTTTATTAGAATAGTCTGGAGGATATTTGCATATTATTTATGCATAAAAAGCTTCATTCTGTCCTGTATTTCCAGAAAGATTTAAGAACTATGAGTAATTAATTTGAGAATAACTTTGCATTTCTTCTGGTCTGATCTTTTTTTCCTGTCCCTCCTTAAAGGTTTTAAATGTGGTTAAATTATTTAGCATATACTATATACATTTAATCTTGAAATAGGCATATACTATACAGAACTAGAGCTTTAATTCAAATGTCAAATGTAAATTGTATAGAAGTAGCTTCGTAGAAGAAATCAGTCAGTGGTTCACTGACTTTTTTCCTAGTTAAATGCAACATTTTTGCATTCCTAATTTCATTTTCTTTGAAAATGTTTTCTTCAACAAATGGGAGGTTTTCGGACTTAATTCTGAGATATGCTTCATGCAAGGTAGCATTAGAGAAAGCCAAAAAAGGGCAACTGAGAAGAGCTGGGTGGAAGATAATTGCTTATTTCTGAGGATTCATAAGAGAGGTACACCTCAGAGTCAACATCTATGTAGAGGAATTTGATTTAACATTTGCCAACAACTCTGCAAATAAGAACAAAATGTTTGGAAATATATTACCTTTTCATGGGTTTCTGGCAGAAAGGATGAAGCTGAAGGGAAAATCCAGTAATGAAACCAATGAGTTAGTTAGAGAAAGTGGAAGCAATTAGATTCAGGGCCACTACTCTTATCAGCTGAAAAATAGAATCCAATTCCTGATACTGAACCTAAGAATAATGATTGGCAATCTGCATTGGTACCCTCCCCTCTCAGATACCTATCTCATGCCTGATTGGTCTGAAGCATTAAGAGCATACCCAATGGTAAGAAACCTGAGATACTGATGGAAGAGAATATTTGTAGCTCAGGGTTGAACTGTGGGGACCTTGGTACTCTCTGAGCTTGGTTATTTTCATGCAGACATTTCATTACCAAACTAGGTAAAATCATTATTGTAGAAGGGACCAGCCAGTTTTGATGTGGATGGTCTTGGTGGATGGTCTTCCTTGATTAGGCTGCTGCTTGCTATTAGCTTGTTTGTCTGAGTTGGTAGTTGCTTGATTGAGGTATTATTTACTTCTTGATTGCTGATCTAATACAGTGAAGGGATTCACCTGGTTCGCACCACTTCGACAGAACCAGTAGCTAATTTTTTGTTGCCCAGGCCCAGAATAGACTTCTGGAAGGGGCATCCGCACAGAGAACCGGTTGATCACATATTTGAATCCCACCACTGATTTAATATTAATTTTGGTGTTAATCTCTGCTCATTTGGGTTTGATAGCTGGTTGAGGAGATGTTTTGGTCTTTTGTTTTCTTTTTGGCTTTTTGTCTCTTTTGAATGGCATATAGATGTTTTTCATCTCTATATACCTGTTAGTGACTGATTTGCCTGAGTGCCAGGCTGAGTGCAATGATGATTCCCTAATGGATACTAAGGAACTTAAGGATTCACACTAGAAAAGCAAGAATATTAGTATAAATTTAGACTTCAGAAAAAACTGCTCACTTGGAGTATTCTCTAAAGCTGCAATTGCTATGCTAAGTGAATTCTTGTACATCTGCTATGGATGGACCAGAGCAGGGATGAATAATCTGATGCTGTCTAGATGGTTTAGGCTACAATTTTCAGAATCCTTTTCCACTGTCCACACTGGCTGAGATCAATGGAAACTGAAAGCCCAAACATGTAGAAGTTACCAAGTTTAATAATATAATTGACTAAATTCAACAAATTCATGGGCACTTCCATGTATTTTTATTTCTAGAGAAACAGTTTGTAATTTCCTTTTTCAGAATGTTTTCACAATTTCCCAATCACTATGCTAAATTATTAGTTATTATTATGTCATGATGTAATTACTAACAGGATGCAATTACTGATTTCATTGATGTGAATTTAATTTTCTATTTGATAGTTATTCTTGCTCCAAGTTCTTTGCTTATTTGGACAATGATTTGGCTAGATTCACTTCATAGTAGATTAGGAGAAATAGAAAAGCAATGGATTACTATAGTTTGTAGCTTTTAATAAATAAAATGAATGAGAAATGCAATCCATGTAGTATTTCTTAATAGAATTGTGTCCCAACATACTCAAATCCAGCTAGGTGGTTGGGAATGTTAAAAAAAGAAGAAAAATATCTATTACTTTAGGATTAATTTATATGCTGGAACAAGACTGATTACTTAATTGAGACTATGTAAAATGTGTTTAATCTAGTTATACTGAAAATTGCCGGAATCATCTGAAGACATATTTTTATGAATAGCTTGCTGCATCGAAAAATGTTACATGCAGATACTATTTGAAGCAATTACATCCCATAAAATATCTATGTGATATAAGACTATATATATATATATATATATATATATATATATATATATATATATATATATATATATATGTTTTCTGAGGTTTTCGCGGGTATTTGTATGTAGGTCTTTGGTTGTTCGGGTTTTCTCCCACGTAAAATGGGAGTGGGAACCCCACTCAGACCTATAGTCAGCTCCATAGGCTCACCTCTACAAAACCTAGCCAAATTTCTCGCCAAACAACTACAGCCCTATGCAGAATCCATTACCTCACACGTAAAAAACTCATTCCAGTTTATAGAGATCATAAAGAAACAAAACTTACAGCCCATCGACCTACTAGTGAGCTTCGATGTCATATCCCTCTTCACACAAGTGCCTATCAAAGAAGCCTTGACAGCTATCCAAAACAAATATAACCCCCCCCCAAACACATCTTAGATCTGACCAACCACTGCCTATCCAACACATACTTCATCTATAATGGACAAAAATACAAACAAACAGAAGGAGCACCCATGGGATCACCCCTCTCACCTGTCATTGCCAACCTCGACATGGAACACTTTGAAACCCAAGCTCTAGAAAAATCTGATCACAAACCCAAACTCTGGCTCAGATACGTAGACGACACCTTCATAATCTGGCCACATGGGAAAGAAAAACTGGACAACTTCCTCAAACACCTCAACAGCCTACACCCCAAAATACAGTTCACCATGGAAACAGAAGCTAACAACCAACTTCCCTTCCTGGATGTCTTAGTCTACAAGAAATCCAATGGCTCCCTAGGACACACCATCTACCAGAAGAAAACACACACACACCGCTATCTGCACGCTCTCTCACACCACCACCCAGCACAGAGCAACTCTGTAGCCAAGACACTCATCTCCAGAACAAAACGCTTAGCTGACGAACAACACCTAAAACCCGAACTACACACTCTCACCAATGTACTAACATCCAATGGATTCCATAGAAATAAGATTACAAACCTAATCCAAAAAGAAACCCCCACTAAAATCCACGACAAAGAACAAGAAAACGGCAAAGCCATCCTCCCATACATAAAAGGCATCACAGACAGAATCAGTAAGATCCTCCATAAACACAACATCAAAACAGCATTCTGCACAATCAGAAAAATATCCACCATCCTTAGAAACCCCAAAGATAAAATTGAATTAGAAAATCAAGGAGTATACGAAATCCCATGCACCACTTGTCCCACCACATACATCGGACAAACCAACAGAAGAATAAGTGCACGCATTGAAGAACATAAGAACTCAATCAAAAAAAAGAGGAACCAACATCTTCCCTGGTCCAACACCTTAAAGCTACAGGACATGAAATTGACTTTAAAAATACCAGAACCATTGCCAAAAGTGAACATTTTAATAACAGAATAATCAGAGAAGCCATCGAGATAGAAAAACGCCCCACACAGCATGAACAAGCGAGATGATACCTCCCGCCTACCAGCCATTTGGAAACCCGCCCTTATTGACAAACGACTCCCTAATACAAAAAATGATACCAGACCCACACTCACAAAAACCACACAGGATGTCACCACCACACATCCACGCAAAAACAAACCCAAAGCCACACGATGATGAGGCACGACCACAAACCAGAAGCCAGACCACAGCTGCATCATTAGCCACTTTAAACCCCTCCAATCCATACATGAAGCAAACTGACACCCTCCATGAAGAGGAGGCACGACCACGAACGCGAAGCCAAAAAATAGCAAGGCAGCCCAAAATCTTAAACCCCTCTGCAACTCAGACTAACCTGAGCACAACCAAACAGAACACTCCCCCAGCCAATCAGAGCACAGCCGACCCCCCAGCCAATCAGAGCACAGCCAACCCCCCAGCCAATCAGAGCACAGCCACGCCCCTAACCAATCAGAACACACCTCCACCCAATCAGAACACAGCCAAGCTCCCACCCAATCAGTTCATACCCCCACTGGCAGTTAAAAGGAAGAAACAGCTAAGACCACACATTGCTGCTCGAAGCACGAAGCTGAAAACACCAGCCTGAAGATGACGAATGGGACTTCGTCGAAACGTCGCCAAGACACTTCCAATTTTACGCGGGAGAAAACCCGAACAACCAAAGACCTACATATATATATATATATATATATATATATATATATATATATATAATATAGGTCTTTGGTTATTCGGGTTTTCTCCCGCGTAAAATTGGAAGTTTCTTGGCGACGTTTCGATGAAGTCCCATTCGTCATCTTCAGGCTGTGTTTTCAGCTTCCTGCTTTGAGGAGCTGCTCCTCGAAGCACGAAGCTGAAAACACCAGCCTGAAGATGACGAATGGGACTTCGTCGAAACATCGCCAAGACACTTCCAATTTTACGCGGGAGAAAACCCGAATAACCAAAGACCTACATACAAACACCCACGAAAACCTCAGTATATATATATATATATATATATATATATATATATATATATATATATATATATATATATATATATATATATTTATATAATTATAATTATAGTTATAGTTATAGAAATGGCTTCAGCAATAGATATCCCCAACTAAGGAATTATTCATCCTCAAAGTATTTTCCCACTCTTTTTTGGGGGGTCTAATTTCCTTAGATATAGTTAAGTCTTGGGGAAGTTGTTTTAATGAGAGGAAGAACTATTAAAAGACTTTTTTCTTTTTAAGGAGAAAATAATATCCCCACCTATACTAAAAATATCTTATGTTCCACATTCTTTAAGTGACAGTATATCCAGAGACAGAATGTTGGGATACATTACTTTCCTCACATTTGCAGAGAAGAGACTACATGGCTGATTCATTCTTTGTTGCAAAAGGTCCTCTTTGTTCCATCAGATTGGCCTTGAGGGTCTTCTACTGCAAAAACGTGGCTTGGTTCACTCTAATAAATCACCTTGGACTATTTGCTCTGCTCCAATTGCCTTTGCCATATTTGCATATCATTATTTAATCATGTGGACATTCTACATTGGATGAGCCAGTTACATAAATTGTGACCATTCAAAATTTCCAGGTGGAGATCCTTCTGGGCTCCCAATCAGGAACCCAGTTATCCTTCTTCTTCAATGGTTTGACATAGAATGTTGCGTTAGGGAACACTCTGGCCTGAATCTCAGGCTCATCTCATGTTCTTTCAGTTTATGGCTTTAATCCAGGACATGTCTCACTTTGCTCTGTGGTTTGGCTCAGGCATTGCAGACAGTTCACATCAATGGGGGATTTAAACTGTTTCAAGGGAATATATCCAATTTTATGCTAACTACAGATATAAACCATTGTTTTTTATTGGTAGATTAATTTAACACCAGCATTCAGTATTCTGATTGCTAATTAAAATAAGGTAATGTGGGCTTGTCACATATTGATAGGAAAGTTAGAAATAAAAATGAATCATCTATAAATAAAACTTTAATACGGTAAGTTCCAAAATAATCAGTCCCTTAATGTCTTTTAATTAAGCCCGTTCCAAGTTGTGGTTCATTTTTTTGCCTTGTCGTACCTATGGCTCTAAAGAGCTAAATGCTCTATAGTATTTGCTGCCAAATTTTCACAAACCCCTAGCCTAAAGCACGGGTGTCAAACTTGCCTTGTCACTTGTTGTGTCACAACATATTGTGACTTTTTTCACAATGCTAGAGCTGGGAAATGGCCTCCGCAGGATGCAGTCCTGGCCTAGAGGTTCCAAACACTAAAGTATATTTAAGGTATTCAGCAGCATGCATCTTACTCTTTCACAGTCCTAAAAGTGATTCAGCAACTTCTCCAAGCAAGTACAATAGAGAGAAAAAAAAACAAATAAAGTTTAACATATGCACCAAATGTCTTTGTCTTCCACTCCTATTACAGATAACAGCTTCTTTGAAGGAGCAAGAATTCACAGAACTTTGGGGGGGGAAAGCTAAGGACAATTATGGCAAAATCTGGCAGAACTTTAGTGATCCACAACTCAAGAAAATAATCAGCTCCATTCAGACCTTGGGTCCTTCTAATTTACCAATGCAGAAACGGAAAGAGGTAAGAATCAGTATTCTAGAAAGAAGTAGGAATGGGAAAAAAGATTATAAGGCTAAGGGAGAGATGATCCTTAGATAATCTTAGATAAGTTATCAATTCCAAACAATAACGGAGGGAGGGAAAGTTGAGAGGGTGAATTAAATGAAGGATTTTGAAAGCACATAGGTAATATTTACAATAACATACTCCAGTCTTGGCTGTATTGATTGGTTATGAGGGACACATTCACATATATTTGAAGAGTAATTAGCTAAACAAGTCTGACCCGTTCTTTTATTTCTGACCCCAGAGTGCATACACAAGAAGGAAGCTGCACTTGCTTTTCTGGCTTATGCTCCATGTTGCAAGCATTCCCAGTAATATACAGTGTTCACAAAGTTGCCAAGAATCAAGATTGACTTAAAACTGCATACATATACACAAACCTAATAATGTCAATATAGGAGTTCTGATTTTGCATTGAAGGGCAGCTCCATCTATCTAAATAATATGATACTCACTATATTTCTGTTTAACTGAAAGACAAAGGTTACAAAAGAAGTATACACCTGGAAGACCAAATGAAGTGTCTCTCACTGATCAACTAAATTACCCTTCCCCCCCCCCTCAGCCCCTTAGTGTTCTCTGCAGCATGTGCAATCACTACCCTCTGACGTTTTATTGCCTCCCTTCTCCTCTTCTCTTTCAAACCAGGGCTCACCCAGACATTAGCTTACCTTCATAATAATTTTCTCCAGTAATCTTCTAGATATTTGTCTTCACCAGAAGCTGACAATGCTGCCTTCATTGTAACCTACTTTTTGATGATCCACTTACAATGACCACTTCATTGTAATGGCCAAGCTGGTATGCATCTTCATCTTTTCAGATTCTTTCAGTGCAAGTCTTTGTGCTTACACTCCAACCTACTTATTTCTATGAAAAAAGGCATTTTATATTATTTTACTTCACTGTTCAGGCT